CCCCAAAACCCCAAAACCCCAAAACCCCAAAACCCCATAAAGGAAAATTATGGTTGATGATAATATACATAATTTAGAAAACAGTAGTAACAATATAATGGATTGACTTCCCTTCCCAGTAATCGATGAGAATATCCTCCTGACCTCTTTCCTCGGTAAAGGGGGGTTTTCAAAAGTTTTTAAGGCTGAAAATGCCGATTCTGAGTTTGTCCTGAAGATCATCAGAAAAGACAAAGAATTTTCAAGGCTAAGAGAAAAGAATCTAATGTTTCATGAGTGTGCTATTCTGAGGAATATTCCTAAGCACCCTAATATTGTAGATTTCTTAGGAGCTAACTTAGAAGGTGTTCAAGACTATCAAGGAGTTAGGCTAAATATTTCCTACCTTGCTTTGGAATTCTGCAAAAATGGATCCCTTGAGGATTTTATGAGAAATAACTTAAGCAGACTTTCCATGGAAGCATGAAGGTTCTACTTTATTCAAGTTGCTAGTGCTGTGCAACACCTACATTTATTGAACATTGCCCATCTTGATATTAAGCCTGATAATGTTCTGCTTGATTCGAACTATAACGCCAAGCTAACAGATTTCGGGATTGCTCAGCTAATGACCACAAGTGGTGGACGTTTAAATGCATCTCTTGGCACTACAAATTATATGGCTCCAGAAGTTGCTGCCTGAGGAAATGGTACATCTTACAGCCCATTTAAGGCAGATATTTATTCACTTGGAGTGCTTCTTCATATAATGCTCACTGGAGATAAACCAAAGACTGGTGTTTCTGCTTCTTCAGAGCAGAGCACACTTTCAGAGAGTCCGGCTGGAGAAATCTCTTCTTGATTTTCAAATGAAAAATTTATACACCCAGGAGAAATACTGGATATTGACGACATCTATAGTCCATTCAACCTTGTGCAGGCTTTACTTGCCCAAAATCCAGAGTCTAGGCCATCTATAGATGATGTTCTTTCTCATCCATGGCTTACCATGGAGATGGATGAAGCCTCCACTTCAGACATTTATGAAGAGATGAGCTCTTGAAGTTCTCTCTTAAGTCCTACAGAAGAACTTCCTAATTAACTTAATTTTTTTGATAATAACCTTGTTTAATTCTGTTTTAATTACTGATAATATACGGAATATCTGGAGTGAAACAGAACACATATTTAAGGGGCCAGTGAAATCGACATGATTGATACAATTAGGTTCCCATTAGACTTAGAAGGCAATTCTCTGGGTCATAAATTCAGTCAAACATTTAGGCCTCAAAATGTTCTCTCCCCTACTATTTTTGGATGGCCGTTTTTAGCCGATAATTTAATAACTAATCTCAGCATGTTGGATAAATTGAGGGGTTTTGGGGTTTTGGGGTTTTGGGGTTTTGGGGTTTTGGGG